AGCTGAAGCGTAAACTAGGCCTCAACCCACTGGTAGAACTTGGAAATGATATCAACAAAGGGCTCAAGGCTGTAACAGATACTGAAGCGTAAGTACTTTGATGTTGACAGATTGAATCTGGATCTTAGTATGGGCCAGAATTTACGCGTCTTATTTTACATGGTCTATATTGAAAGATTTCATCAAGTTTTCCGATCATTCATCGTAAATCTATATTGGAGTTTTGGGTTGTATACCATATCAAGTTTTTTTACCTAGATAGAAATTCACTCGAGATTTGGACAGTCTTGATTCTCATTTCCGTATAGTATAGCCTCTCCTTTTTGCTGCTTTTGATTGCTAGCGAAAGTGCCCAAGTTTGAACGAATGCCTTCATCTGTCTCTTTTCGCGTGGGTTCAGTTGCGGCATAATTACTACAGATCTCGGACAAGCCCGTATTTGCTCAGCTAAACGATAATCAATCGGGGGTTTATTGACCCTAGAGCGGAGGAAATGAGGTCCTTTAGGTTTTCGAGAGCTTCCATTTACTCACTCTTGATGGAAAGCTTGCAAAAAGATACCGGCGTATTAAGCATGTCAATTCATATTTTTCTGAACAGCTCGCTGAGTAGGCTTTCATGTTTTGCAAAGCCTTCATAGTTTTTCCCATCATGTTTTGCAGAGCCTTCATAGGTTTTCCCATTTCTTTGCCTAACTATCGCCGTTAGTTGAAAACTTAGGAGGTAATCAGATGAGCGCATCATGGGCATTGGCTAGAAGTGCGCAACAGTTGAAAAATCTCTGTCCTGACACCCAGCAAACAAACCTTATGGCCCTAGTGCCTGTGTAGACTAAGCTATTTGGTAAAATCCACGGTTTTAGGTTTCATAAGACGTCTGAAGTTGCCGCCGCTACGGCTGACACCGTTAAACACAAGTGGAACGACATGCGCAACTCATCACTTTTCAAATCATTCGAGTCTAAGCTGGGTACAGCTTATAACAGCGTAAGTCCGGTTTTTGACAGCTGCTCTAGTTTTTTTTTAACTTCATTTTTCCCTTTTTCCCGTTGAATAT